CAACTCCCTCCTCTGTAGAACCCTCAGTTTGTTTTTCAGAGTCCATCGTCTCTCATGGTTCATCTCCCCCTCCGATTTCCCCCCTTCATTCTTCCCCTCCTGCTATCTTCTTTTTTTTTTTTTAACATGTATTATATTATTTGTTTCAGAGGTACAGATCTGTGATTCCACAGTCTTGCACAATTCACAGCGCTCACCATAGCACATACTCCACCCAATGTCCATCACCCAGCCACCCCATCCCTCCCACCCCCACCACTCCAGCAACCCTCAGTTTGTTTCCTGAGATTAAGAATTCCTCATATCAGTGAGGTCATATGATACATGTCTTTCTCTGATTGACTTATTTCACTCAGCATAACACCCTCCAGTTCCATCCACGTCATTGCAAATGGCAAGATCTCATTCCTTTTGATGGCTGCAGCTTTTGACATTTTAATATACTTTCGGTCTCCCAACAAAACATGCTATGATGTCATGTTTAAATGCTTTTGTCAATAAATCTCATTTTGTTTTGCATAATTTAAACAGCATGCATCGCTCAAATAAGATAAACCAGTTTCCTCCCATATTTTGAATAATATGAAAGAGTGCATTAAAGTGAGCTTAAACTATGATCTTTGTGGTAGGAAGCCTCTGAGAAGGCCCCCCAGTGATCGTCATCTCCTGGTGTTCCGGCTCTTGCATAATCCCCTCCCCCTTGAATGTCATCTGCTTCTAATTAGTAGAATATGGCAAAAGTGATGGGATTGCCCCTCCAAGATTAGGTGACAGTGTGACTTCTGCCTTGCTTACTCTCACTGCATTCTCTCTCTCTCTCTCTCTTTCTCCCCCTTGCTCACTCTGAAGGAAGCCGGCTGCCATGTTGTGAGCTGTGAGTTGCGTTATGGAGAGGTCCATGTGGCAAGCAACTGATGTCTCTGACAGCCAGAAAGAAACTGAATCCTTCTGACGATCATATGAGTGAGCTGGGAAGCACATTGTCCCCCTGTTGAGCCTTCAAATGAGACCAGAGGCCATGGCCAATGCTTTGAGTGCAGCCTTGTGACACGCCTTGATCCAGAGGCAACCAACCAAGCCATTCAGATTCCTAACCTACAGACACCGGGACGTAATAAATGGCGTTTTAGCTGCTGATTTGGGGGTCATATTGCTTTGAAGCAATAGGTAACTAGTACCATCTTCCATGATATAATAATCTCAAAGGAAATGATTTTTGCTTAGAATCACTTTTTCCTTACATATCACTGCAAGAATGAGAAAATACTTCAACAATTTTTGAAAAAAAATTCGGAGATTATTTATTAATGTGAAAGGGGTACAGAAAACTTATAATAGATGAAGCAAGGCCTTCCTTCTCTGGAGAATCTTGGGATTGTAATAGCTGAGGATGATTACAAAGGGAACGATCATTCCTCCTAGGTTAGAGTGGCCGGGGGTGCTGTTTAAAAAATGCAGATTTGTAAGCTTATCAGGAATTACTGGATCAGAAAATCTGGATCACTGGATCAGAAGATCTAGTGGACTGGGCCTAGAAATCTTCATTTTGACAAGTCCCACCCTGCCAAGCAAATCCAATGCTTACCGAAATGTGAGGATTATTGTTCAGACATGTCTGGCTTTTCAAGCTTGGCTGTACATTGGACTCATCTTAGGAGCTGATTCGACCCCCTGTTTTACTCTAGACACTTTGCGTCGGAGTCTCTGAGGACAGGCCAAGGAATCAGTATTGTTAAGGCTGCCTAGTGTGTTCTGAAGTAACTTCCCAAGGACCGGCCTGGCTTGGCCAGTAAATGTCATTGAATCACCCTTGGCTTGTGCCACCCACCTGCCCTGTCTGAATAGAGTCTCTTGGAAAAGAGTGCTTATACTAAGTATCTCAGATCTTATCAGTCCAAGAGGAACCTGTCCACTCCTCCGGGTCACATGTACTAGGAGAGAGAACCTGAGCCTGACTTTGGATGAAAGTGAGGAAATTCCAGGGTGGCAGCGTGGGAGGAAAGCACAGAAATGAATATTCGACATATCTCACCACAGGTCTGGAGGCAGTCACCGCTCAGGCCTCATGCAGCATGGAAGGAAACAAGGACCCTGTCGTAAATGGTATCTGGAAATCAATGTTCTCAAGGGTGGCCTGATTAGGCCTAAGTGCTAGGCCCTCCAGCGTGATTGGTAGTTAGCCTTGGCCTTTCCTTTCTTTACCTATTCCAGTGGATATGTGGCTCTGGGAGACCAGCTGACTGAACATCAAAGCCATGCAAGACAAGGGGTTCTTGAGACTCGGCGTTAACTGGGGTCTGTCCTACCTCCCTGAGGAAGAAGTTCTCAGGGACTGGCTTTGGGGCCTCAGGGACTTAACAAAGAAATCACTGGGAGACCACTGCCATCCTGGAGAAAGCATTCTGAAAATCAGATTTGGTCAAGGGGCCTAGGTCAGGGTCAAATATAGAAGCCAAAACTAAGTTGGCATTTCCCAGGGGCTCCTTGCAAGCTTTTGGAACACCCAGAGAGGCTATAGCTCACTTCTCGATGGGAAGTCTAACTTTTAGCACTTTGGGGCCTTGGAGCTAAATCTTAGTGGCAGCTTCTAGGTTCCCTCACATGCTGCACACTGGATGCCCAGTTATTCACTAACTAAATTGAGAGGAACCTCAGGGACAGAATTTCTGAGGAAACAGCCCAGGAAGAAGTGGCTGTGGGAACGTGGTGGGTATCTGGGGCATTGAGGGGTAAGCAGCTGCTGTTCCTTGTGGTAGCATTTCCAGAATTTCTGGGCTCTCCTCAGATTGCATCTGGGCAGGAGGCCCCACGTAGATGTACTGCTCCTACAGAGAATAGAGGAGGTGGTAGGGAAGAAGCCTTGGGGTAGCTGCATCCTGCGGCAAACCCTGTATAATTCTGCCCCAGTGTTCGCTTGATCCGGGACTTGTTTGAGAGGAAAACACAACAGACATTAAAGTGAATGAAATGTGCGCATGTGTGTGTGCGCACGTGTGCGTGTGCGTATCTGGGTGTGTAGCCACGTTCTTAGTTTCTACGTCCCCACCTCAGGTGACGGGGACTCTGACAAATCTCAGTTAAAGCAGAACCTTGGATTGAGGGTAAGAGCCATTTCCTTCTATTTTGGATAGATGTTACCTGCATTCAGAGTGTGACTAAAACCCTCACGCCTAACTTGTTGTTATAGATTTATGGGATTATGGGATTTGGTTATGGGGCCTGCCCGGTCTAATTAAAGTGTTAGGACTCCTAGGAGACCGGCTGTGGTTCACGCAGCCTGGATCTTTAAAAATGCCTCGTGAATATACTCCTGGCTCCTTCGCACTGAAGACTCGGTTGTTCGCACTGAATGCTCCAGAGGTCATTGTATAGCTGTGGAATTTGTCTCTTCTGTCCCTAATGCCCAGTTGCCCCAAATGTCCCCCACCCCCTCGCCCCCATCGAGAATTCAAAAGCTGAAATGACTGTCCTTTCCTTGGCTCGTGGCCCCTGTGTGGACATGAGTTCTGCACACGGAGCACCTCCCTTTGCCCTGGCAAGTGGCCGCTGCTGCTGAGGGAATGGGAGGAGGTTTCTGGAAGGAGCTGGAAAGAAAAGCATCTTCTCACCCTGGGCTGGTGGCCCCCACCAAAGGTTCACCTTTCACCTGGCTCTGTCCCCAGCCCTTGCCCCGGAGGAGTAAATGGGAGGAGAGACACTCCAGCTGGTCCCATGGCGGCAACCAGTAATGCCACCGGGACCCTGTGGCGTCTCGGCTTCCACCTCCCACCCCGCTTCCTGCTGGACGTGTCCACGCGCAAGCCCCACTGGCATCCGTGTCCCGGCTGAACTCGTCACCTGTCTCCACTCGTCATTCTGCCAACTAATAGTCTGTGTTCCCCGTCTTGCTTTAACAACATCACCACGGACCCAAGCCACCACCTCAGGGTCGTTGTCACCTTCTCTGTCTCCTTGGCCTTCCATGACACCCAGCCCTGTGGTTTCTCCGCGTGGACACGTCCCCGGAATGGCCCCTCTTCTCTGCTCTCACTGCCGCAGTCCTGGTCCAGAGCACTTGGCACCTCTTGCCGGGACCCTGGGGATGGCCTCCCAATGGGTCTACCTGATTTTGGCTTCTCTCCCTTCCAGTCCTTCCACACTCTGGTGCCCAGAAAGGGTTGTCTTCCTGGGCTGTCATTCGTCTGCCTTCATGAAAACTTTTGATGGCTCCCTATTGCTCAGAGAAGAAAGTGCAAAACTCCCAGCTTGGCCAATTAAGCCCTGGATAAGCTGATCCCAGCCACCTGTACCCCTCCCTTGTCACTGTGGCCAGCTGCTCACCCCACACCAGTTGCCCCACCCTCCGGAACATGAACTTCCGCTCACATACTGTTCCCTGGGCCTGGATCCAGCTCCAACATCCTTCACCTGTGATGCCTCCCTGTTCCTCAGATGCTAGATCATTCACCATCAGTGCCCCCATGATGATGCTACATTTCTCGACTATAGCACTCATTGGACCATGAGTATTTATGTGTGCCTCTGTCCCTCCCACTAGATGGAGAGGTCCCCAAAGGCTGCCTGGGACCAAATTAGGCTCTCCTTTGTATTCTCAGTGCCTAGCATAATGCCTGATATAAAGTAGGTGCTCAATAAATGTCTGTTGCGTAATGTCTTCTTCTTCTACAATCTAGTCAAATATGCCAGACTAACCTCAAACACGTGACTCTCAGCCTTTGCATGAGCTGTTGCCCTCATCTTGATTTCCCATTTCTTTCATTTAGTTTTTGTTCCTTGTTTCTTCAATATCCATCTCAAGTCACTTCTTCCAGGAAGACGTTTCTGATGAGCTCCACCCAACTCTGCTCCTTTCTTTTGCTTGCCTTCCCCTGAGCAGCCACATAGTTGTAACTTCTTTTTTTTTTAGACTAGATAAAGATCTGTATTTCTCAACAGTCAAAATACAGCACATAAATCAAAAGGGAAAAAATATTTGTATCATATCCATACGAGCTAATTACCCCAGTTTGACTGTTTTTGGTGCTCCTACAAATCAATAAGAAAATAGAAAAATGGCAAAAGACACAAATAGGCAATTGTAATAAGTGTGAAATATGTTCAAGTTGAGAAAAAGATTGCAAATTGGAAAAAAGTTTTCACTTGTTCATTTAAAATATTGATAAACTTAATACATAAGCCATTTAATTTATAAAGGTTAAAATAATATATACATAAAATAGGACAAAAAACCCACGAGAAATATCAATGACAAACCATACAAAAAGACAATTGCTTTAATAATATATATATTAAATAAGCTATTTTTTCACCTTTCAAATGGTAAAGATTTTAAAGCAATGATGTTTTGGGAAAATGCGTCTGTTCATACATTGCTGAGGAGCTTTTAACTGGTGCAAGTTTTCTGAAGGAAAATTTGTCAATATATATATCAAAAGTTAAAAGAAAAACCCACATAATTTGTGCAGCAAAAAAGGCACCTTTAAAACTATAGCCCAAGGAAATGTCTTAAATTGTTGTCTCTTAGTTGTGGGATTACGGGTATATCACTTTCTGTGTATTTCTGTATTTTCCAAAATTTTTTGCAATGCATATGGATTTTAATTAAAAAAGGGGAAAAAAGCCAAAGTAACGTTATGTATATAATGGGGGAAATAATGTCCTGCTTTTTTTTTAAAGCTTTAAAACCTCACAAAAACAAATAATTTCCTTGCCAATGTGGTAATTCCTCTCACCTTTAGAAGCATTTGTTAATAGTCTGAAGAATTTAGAATCAAATGTGCTTTGAAAAATGAAAACGGATGTAGACTTTAAGTGGCAAAAGACAGACTGAGAGAGAAATAACACTATCTCAGGGGAAAAAAAATCTTTCCTACATATACATTTTAAAATGAAAAATCAAATACCTTGACGCAGTCTATTAGCCAAACCAAGGCTGCCACAATATGTGGCCATGTATGAGAGGTCCCCACTGTATACATGGAGCTTTTGGATAATGCAAAAGGGTACCTATGAAAAGTTAGGGAAAAAAACCATAGAAGCCAACAATGTAAATTTTGTGAAAATAAGGCTAAATTAGGCAAGAAGTTACATTAGAAAAATTCCACATTTCCTCCAACAGTCTTGGCTTGTTTAGAAGTAAGATATTTATTAAGATTTTGTCCTTGGTCATCTGACTCTGAAATGATTTTGTGTATTTTTTGGTTTCTTCTCTTTGTACGTATATCCCTAACACTGCAGAACTTGATTTACAACCAGTATGTTGGACTTCTCTCCTAAAAGACTGTTTGTTCCCTCAAATTCAATGTACTCCAAATAAGCCACATATGTATACTCTTCATCCTCAAATCCATTCCTCCCCGTATTTACTCTACACAGCCATTCTTGACTTCATCCCACCCCATTTTCTCCAGGCCTCCAATCCTATCTTTTTTGCTTCTACAAAATCTGTGGTATCCAGCCCATTCTAGCCATTCCTCATCACTTCGGTATTTGGAAAGCCTTATGAACTATCTTCTATAGTTCAGTAATAACCTCCAAACAGTGGTTTTTCTTGCCTTTTAAATTCATCCTAAGATATACTGCCCACAGTGACCATCTTAAAATATATGATTTCTCTCACTCGGAATCTTTACAAATCAATCGAGTCTGATTCTTTTCTGTGTTCCAACAATCTCTTAAGGCTAATAAGAAATATAACATATAAACTCAAGATCTTTAAAGATTCTTGGAACCTCTTCTTCAAACTTTGTGTCAGGAAGTTCATACGAAGGGCACAGGAAGCCATAAAGAAAAGTGAGGATCTTTAGGAAGTCTTTAACAGAAGGAGCTTGTAGAGATTTCATGGATACACTATATGCATAACCATTTTCTGTAAGAAACTCACAGAGTTGTCGAATACACTGCTGAATGAATGCTTTGTCATTAAGTGGTCGTGGGTCCTTGATTTTTTCAGAACTGGAAAATATACCAAATTGACTATTCCGGGATCCAGGTCCACTAGTTCTTTTACCAAACACAGAGGCTTTTCTTTCAGATGTGGGTTTGTTTATATTCAACTTTCCAAAGGCTGGTTTCTCTTTGGTTTGAGGGGTATGGAGGCCTTGTTTATTGAAATCCTGAGACCTTAAATTCTGCATGGAGAGGCGGCCAGCACCACCGGTGGAAACTGAACTGCGCTTCATGCTTACTACCGGGCAGGACAGCAGCCGCCAAAACACCCAACACCTCCCTCTATAGTTGTAACTTCTACAACAGTACCCACCCCAGCAATTCTGTCTACCAGAGACCTGGGCAAAATGTTCTCTTCCAAAATCCCTCTACTATGCACATGGTGAGTCCTCTTGGGGGAGGAATTCCATCCTTCATTCTAGTTCAGGTTTCACCAACATTGCTTGTTCTGGTTTGTAAACATTTCCCCCAAATTAGGAGCAGCCTTGAACTCACTGACTCATGACATGAGATCCCACACAGGGAAAGACATCGATAGCCTCTCCACTGCTCCTAAACCATGGAAATGTTTTGTCCACGAAAACAAGAGTTACCCTACTGTGTCTTAAAGGAAAATCCATTCTTCTCACTCCTAATGAGTCAACTGCGCATGGAGCTGGATTAAGGGTGGTGGCAATAAACAAAAAGAATAAGGCACAGCTCCTGCCATTCAAGTTGGTGAAACTTCTTCGCCAGGAGCAACCATATACAATAAATGGAAGTTCGGTGGACATTCTTTCCAAGAGCAGTATATCATGAGGTGGTTAAAGCATGGGTTCAGACACAAAAGAGATCTAGATTGAAATCCTGGCTGTCCAGCCTAGGGACTATGTCATATTAGCCACCTGACTTATCCTCTCCACACCTCACTTTGCTCAACTATAGAAGGGGGTAATAATGGTTCCTATTTCATAGGGTTGTCGTGAGGGTTACCTGAGTCAATTCTTGGCAGAGTCAGTGCTTTATAAATGTTAGCAATTATTATTATTCACCCCGCCCTTGTTCTCTTCCACTTACAAGAGCCATATCTTTCCCCTACTGTGAGAAGACATGGGGAATTCTGCAGGAAGCCAGGCCTGGGGAAGCTGGGGGCTCACAGAATAAAACTTGGGACACTGAAGTGTCATATGCCAAGAGACAAGAGAGGCATTTATGATCAAGAGGACCAGGATGCCAGATTAAGCTAAAGCTAAACACCTTTATGAATACCAAATATTAAGAGGCCGACTAGAAGAGCTGCAGGACATGGTGACAATAATAATAATAATAAAAAAAATCATGTGAAGTCAACTTGCTTGCCCAGTTTCACCTGCCCCCTCCTCCTCCTCCTCACCATCCCTCGCCCCCCGCTTTGGCAAGGCCCCATCTCAAGCAAGCCTGGCCCAGAGGCAGCATGTGGTAACCGTAACCTTTAACCAGAGTGAGCACAGGGCCAAGGAATGGGTGCAGCTCTCTCCAGCAAAGGCGATGCCCAGATGAGGCTCTGGAAAGCTGTAAGATTTGCTTGCCACAGATTCTGCATGTTTACATTACAAGGGTTGATGTTTCAAACTGGTGACATTTGAATAAACGTGAGTGGGAGATTGAGTCATGAGTTTACATTGTAATAAATAATCTCAGGGACAGATTTTGTCCTTTCATTGCTCAATTTCTATCCCTGAGTCAGTAACAACCCCACCTTTCAGTCCCCGTTGTGAGTTTTAGTCAGCACTGGGGTTCATTCCAATGGGAGCACGCTGCCAAAATGGCTGCCGTCAGTAAAGGGAAAGCAGCTGCTTCCAGGTGCTGGCCTTGCTAGGATGTAAAGTAGTGCCATTGGCTGGTAAAAGGAAGTTATGCCTGGATGGCATGTAAAAAGTATCACTTCTTCCTTTTTCCATTTAATTTATCTTTTAATGGTTAACATACAGTGCTGTATTAGTTTCAGGTGTACCATATATGGATTCAACAATTCTATACATTACTCGGTGCTCTTCATGATAAGGGTACCAGAAGTGTCAGTACTTTCTTTTTTTATTTTTAAGTAAGCTCCACACCCAGTGTGGGGCTCGAACTCATGACCCTGAGGTTGAGCCAGCCAGGCACCCGAAAAGTGTTGGTGCTTTGGACTCACGGTCTCCAAATAAAATATCACGCAAAGACCAGATTTTACTCACATAATAGTTGTCTTCATATATTGGTCCTAAAGCTAATCTGATGGCTGAAAATGAACACAAGCAGAACACATGTAACTCTCAGGCTAACTAACTTTATTCCCCTGGTCTCTCATGCATTTCTCATGTTCCACCTCCTCTTCCTTTGAAATAAGCAAGCTTTTATCTTTTTTTAACAGTTTATTATTGAAAATTTCAAACACAAAAGTTAGAGAGACAAGTGTTACAAACTCCTATATACTCACTGTCCAGGTCTTAAAGATTTATTTATGTATTTATTTGAGAGAGAGAGCGTGTGTGTGAGTGCCTGCATGAGAGTGGGGGGGGGAGGGGCAGAGGGTGAGGGAGAAGGAGAGAGGCAGACCCCCTGCTCAGTGCAGAGCCTGATGCGGGGCTCCATCTCAGGACCCGGAGATCATGACCTGAGCTGAAATCAGGAGTCGGATACTCAACCAACTGAGCTACCCAGGTGCCCCAACAGTAATTTTCTAATGTCAGTTAATACCTAGTCCAGGGACACCTGGTTGGCTCAGTTGGTTAAGCGTCCAACTCTTCACTTCAGCTCAGGTCTTGATCTCAGGGTCGTGAGATCAAGCCCCTTGTCAGGCTCCATGCTGAGTGTAGAGCCTGCTTAAGATTCTTTCTCTCTCTCCCTCTGCCCCTTCCCCTCACCCCGCTCGTGTGTGCTCTCTCTCTCTCAAAAAATAAAATGCCTAGTCCAGTTTCATTTTTTCTTGACTGACAAGTTCTGTTCCAGAAGACAATTTTGGATGAGGACCTGGAGGCTCTGAGATGCAGTATGCTTTGCCCAAGGTCATAGAACCACTCAATGAAGGAGCTGTGACCAGAACCCAGGTCTCTTGACCCACTGTCCTATACTCTTTGACCTTCTCCATGGGCTTCTTTGCTTTCTACTCTCCACTTACCACCTTTCTCCCCTTTTCATCTGAGGGAAGAGTCACCAGTTTCTATTTTAGGGTAAAAAAAAGCAACAATAGGAAATAAGATCATGATGTTAGAAATCACAATTGCTCTATATGTTCTCAGCTGAAGATTTGGCAGCAATGCAATGCCAGAGCTGATTACTCACTGGCTCAGATGACTTCGGCAACCTCTTATTCACATATTAAAGCCAATGACATTCCAATGTCTGTCTGTACATGGTTGCTCTTCTTCGGAGCCTACACTGCTCCAGCATTTGGATACTTGGGAACTTTGCTAATACTTGCCCAGGATTCCAGCACTTCTTGAATCAGTGGTGCACCCTGGCGTGTGCAAACAAGAAGAACATTGCAGGAAGCAGACCAAATGAACTCCAGAAGTGCGGGAAGGGTTATCAGCTAATGCTCTAATAGCAGCTGCCTATTAGGGATTGCTGGACGGTGGGCAGGTGGGCTTCAAAGGTCAAGGGAATGGTCCAGGGAAAGTAGGGGGTCCTACGTAAAGGTGAGTATAGCTAGAGCCCAAGATGCACATTGGAGAGTGGGTGAGATTATAAGTAGGCAGAGAATGGAGCGTCAGATGTGTCTGGCAAAGGAATTTGAATTTTTATACAAACCCCAAACAAGCAAATAAGTAAATTCACAAACCACTAAGCCAACGCATGATCAAACAGGCAGAAATGTAAAATAAAGTCTTATTAAACCTTGAGTTTCAGCATCTTTTCCTTGGACAAATATCTCCATGAAATGTAAAATAAAGTCCTATTAAGGACAAATATCTCCATGAAATGTTCGCAAGATGTCTACTTTTTTGCCTTGTGGTATTTAACCTAAAAAGAAATGCATCTGCTATGTTGGCCTGAAACCAAATTTGGGCCAGTTTTCTTAGAAGCCAAATCCACCGGGACATGACCCTGGAGCCAGGCTGTGGGGTGGCCTCCAGCCAGCCTGCATGATGACAAGTGGGATTTGGGTGACACTAAGGTGCTTAGGTTTTTGGTAGCAGCTGAAAATCATTAAACGTAGGTGAAGAAGAAGGCTGGCTGACTCCCTAACTGACTGGAACGTGAAAATTAGACAGTAACAACTCAAAGTTAGTGTTCACATGACCTGGCTCTATGATTCCAAAGGCAAGCTCTTTCTCAGACTTGTTGTTTCCCACTATTGCCATCGAAGTACTGTTTAGTGTAGTCCAGTGTGATTATGATGCATAATCAGGGAGAAATAGAGGCCTAAATACTTTAAGCCATTTACCCCAAATAGTTGTTAGTCTAGTTTCTACCAGAGTCCGGAACTCAAATTTCATTTTTTAAGATTTATTTATTTATTTTGAGAAAGGGAGACAGAGAGAGCACACAGGCGGGGGGGGAGGCGGGGGGAAGATAGAGTGAAATAGAAACTCAGGCAGACTCCCTGTTGAGCGTGGAGCCCAAGCGGGGCTCGACCTTACCACCCTGAGATCAGGATCTGAGCCGAGACCAAGAGTTGGATGCCTAACTGACTGAGCCACCCAGGCACCCCAGAACTTGAATTTCATGATTCCGCATTCTTTCTATCATATAATGAGTAACCTTCGGCTGCCCTAGCTTCCTCATCTGTTAAATAAGATCATGATAGTTCCTTCTTCATAGAATTTGTGTGAGGCTTCAGTGAGTTAAAACACATAAGAACTCAGTAAATAAAATTATTTCTTCACTTATTTATGCAACAACTTTTTTAGAGATTTTATTTATTTATTTGAGAGAGAGACAGAGATAGTGAGAGAGGGCACGAGCTGGGAGGAAAAGGGGAAGCAGGGTCTCCACTGAGCAGGGATCCCGATGGGGAACTCTATCCCTGGGATCATGACCTGAGCCCAAGGCAGACGCTTAACTGACTGAGACCCCCAGGCGCCCCTATGCATCAACTTAACAAGTATTTGTTTACTACCTACTACACAGGAGGAAGCTAGGCCCTATGGGGTAATACAGCAGAGTAAAGACAGGCTCGTTTCTTCAAAAAACCTATACTTTCATGGGGAAAGCAAGACATACTTTATGAATCTGTGACGCAGTCTGCATTACATGAGTAAAACACACAACACAGCAGCCCCCCTTATCCACAGAGGATGGTC